CAGATTAATGAAAGAATTTGAAGGCTATAGTGATGTAGTATGATGCCATTTATATTCTGCAGTGAGTCGATGTGACGTAGGTAAAAGTAATTTCGTGCATTTTGTAAATTCTGTTCGATGACACTGTAACCATTTAGAACATTGCGCGATTCAATGAGGACATTGACCGGACTGTCCGGGGAGTATGTGACATTCGACCAGAATGGCCAAAATGCAGTCTCTGCAGAATTCAGGATTTTAGCAGTGAACCTTCCGGATTGGCGATTTAGAACGGATAAGGACGTTATTTGAATGATTGGCCAAACGGTGAAGGCTAGAAGATTCTGGAATTCTAAATTTTAAATTTTCGAAGTGATGACGTAACATTTCTGAGAAATGTTAAAACGGCCATTTTGGCTAAAATAGCAGAAAGAAACAGAACAACTTTATCTGCGATTACGAACAGTACGAAAATCGAGACTAAAAAACAACAACGAACTACCGAACAGCAGAGGACGTTCCGAGTTGCAACTATTGTGCTGTTACAATAGTTGCAAGGCCGTTGCGAACAACGGTGAAGGGTAAAAACCAGCCCTCCGAGTTAGCGTGAACCTGAGGTTAAGGAGCTTGATTCGCCGGATTCAAGAATCCGGAAGGGTCTCGGGACGGGAACTTTTATGAACTTGTATTGAATTTTAGCATCCTGTCATGTCCTGACTTGAATTTAACTGATATTTTGATTAGTTTTGACAAGGATGAGGTGCTAGGAGTTGGGGGGAAAGGGTTGATCCATCTTCGATGGAGATGATGATTTTTATCTACTGAACAAAAACAATAGTAATATGATAAGTAGCAGCCCTGTTTTTAGGAGTGACCTCGTGGTCTGGGGATACAGAGACCCAGCCATGAGCTCACTAATTTTGCATGTAATTCAGTTAATTTGAGCGTTCTGGTCGAAGCCGGAGAACAGTAACGTTTTTGTCAGCCTGATGTAAGAAAGACCACCGAAAAGTACTGGCTTGGTAGAGACGGTGAAAAACATGCAAAGCTCTGTTTAGACGCTAGCCAGTCGTCTTAAGACTTAGTTTTGTTATCCGTCGATATGTATCTTCCGGGCGAATGTTACAAGTGGCCTTTAAGCTGTAACGGGTTCCAGTCTCATGTCGCAAGCGAACTGAATTGGCTCCGACCGTTCTTGAGGTGGAAAAACACAAGAGATAGTGTCCCTGACTCCTGAGCCAATGGTTATAGGGCCTATTTTTCTTAAGCCTCATGTGTGACTACAGTAGACGAATGTTACACTTTTGCAGATTGTTACAAAAGCAACCTAGTTTTGTTATGTGAAAAGCCAGTCGCTCAATATCAGGTCAATATTTCCTGTTTTTTTTTCACCTTCTGTTACTGGATGAAAACTTTCAATTAAATCTGTCTGTCCGAAATTTTTGCTACTAATTAACTTCATCCTTTTGCTGTGATAAAACCTTGAAATTTCATAAGCAAAAGTAGCTACTTCTTCACCGTCGCATTTCGTTCAACTACCGCCTTGAATACGACAAATTACAATTAATATTCAAGAATCGCTTTGCTTCACTGAAAGACTTCTTTTCATCTCGCAAGTTTTCATTCGATGATTCACTAATAACATTGATTTTCTCGTTGTTTTGTTGTCTTTTCCTAAAAGATAAATTATTCTGTTGCCTTTTTCTGAGGCTTTGAAATGACGCAAAACTTTGAATAATTTTATTTATCCGCTTTTAATTGATTTTTTTAAAAACCTAAAATTTTTCTACTACTACTTTCCTTATTTTTTTTTCGCAAACAACTTTAATTGATGTATCGAGTGTATTGTACACTCTTTTTCCTTCGATATCAACAGTCAATCCTTCTCTTCGAATGGGAATTAATTCCCGGACAGTCCACTTCCTCGACAAACTGGTATGGAAGGATACTTTTGGACAACCTTACTTAAATATTGAAATTTTGCACATGGAGAATAATATGCAGATGTGGAAACTAACATCACAAACAAGATAAAACTAAACTAATGAACTTGAACCTGGGTGCGACCCCTTGTGAACTGTCTCTAAATCTTTTACTGCTACTTCTACTAAACAAAAACCTTACATCAACCGACTGCAAATGATCTGAACTACCCTCTCGGAAACTATTCTCTCCGATTCTCGATTTAAAGCACCCACCAGGTTTTTCTGGGTCTGAAAATGCCGGATTTCACCATTCTAAGTATGTTTTCAATGCGCGTGAACACTGTTTTGAATATGCTGAGTAAAGAAAGTCGAACGTTCGAGTTGAAATATTTTAGACGAGAAAATTACAGTTCCGTGTGACAACTTTACTTGTAAGTCTCTGACAGTTTTCCTTGTAAGTCTCTGACAACTTTCCTCGACTTTTTTTGTTTCTTTAAATTTCCAACTGTTGGAAAATTTTATTACAAATAGTGAAACTGGTATTTTGGAAAAACTGGTAAGTAGGTCAAATCGAGAATCTAGACTTTCAGAGAGGGTAGTTAAGATCATTTGCAGCCGGTCGATGTAAAAGTTTTGGTAAATATCGAAGTAACTAATCCCAAAAATTGATAGATTCAGGTCTTTTTAGAGAGTAAAAACGTAAAATTGCGTTTAATTTTGGCAACTAGTGTATTTGCCATGAAAGAAAAGTAAATTCTCTGTTTCCGAATAATCAGTGAAGTGAATTGCATGTGGCGGGTTGTGGTAAATTGCATATTGTGGTAAATTGACCGCACGATTAAAATACACTTGTGGACAAAATTAAGCGCAAATTCAGGATTTTACTCTAAAATGCTGGTTTTCAATGTACATTGTGGACAACATTCCGTTCGAAATTCAGTGATATTTTAACATTGACCGAGAGCAAATGATCAGAGCTACCATCTGTGAAAGTATCAATATTTGGTTTCAATGACTTACCAATGTAATCCGTGTCTGAAAATGCTAGTTTTCCTCATCTGCACGAAGTTTTGCATCGTAGTGAAATCTTTCTTGAATAAGCGGAGTAAAAAAAATTGTTCATGCAAGGTGAAACAGTCTCAGTGAGAAAATGGAAACAATCAGTGTGAAATTCTTACTAAACTCAGACGTTTGTTACTTATTCACGCGAAGTAAAAAAACTTGGTGCAGATGAGGAAAACTAGCATTTTCAGACACGAATTACATGGTAAATCATTGAAACTAAATATTGATACTTTCACAGATAGTAGCTCTGATCATTTGCTCTCGGTCAATGTAAAAATTTTACTGAATTTCGAAGGTAATGTCCAAAATGTACATCGAAAACGGGCATTTTACAGAGTAAATCTAGAATTTGAGCTTAATTTTGTCCACTAGTGTATATGCTTTTTTAATTTCATAGGAGTCAACATAGGCGAAAGATAGAAATCGTGCTGAGAATCGCCGTTTTTGTCGAAACGCTTCAAAAGTTGCTTTGAATTTTTTTTCACTTCGAATTATAGACTTTTAGAGAGGGTCGTTCAGATCATTTGCAGTCAATCGATGTAAAAGTTTTGGTGATACACCTCCTCTGCGAATTCCCTGCAAACGCCAGGGGATTTATACTTTTTTATGAAACGATATTACAGGGGCTTTCTGATATTAACCGCGGGTGGATCTAGGATTTTCACGAAGGGACGAATTTTGATGACACCTTTCAGGTCGAACAAGTTGTTTACCTGAGCTCTCTTTACACAAGCGAAGATTACGTGATAGTATGAACTCTCTTTTTTTCCAACCTAAATCGCAAATATTGTTGAGACAAAATGTGTTCATTTTGAAAGTGTACATTTTGAACAATACCCAGATATTAAGTACAGGCAATGATAAGGATATTAACTCAGACTATTGTATTACAAATAGCACGTAAGCTTCAAAATAGCATGGATCTGTAGCGTATAAGTAGGGAAGGAGACCCGCATTGAAGTAAGAGGGTTCGAACCTGGGCAGGGTCGGATGTTTTTAATGAACTTTTTCGTATGCTAGGTTAAATGCGTCCGCTATAAATTGAGGCATATTATTTGGTAAATTTTTTAAAATCAACTGGTACTGCTAATGCGTCATAATTGGCTTGCGTCATTTAGCAATTATGTAGACTCATAATTGGCGTGAGTCACTAAGAAGTTTTGTAGACGCAAAGTTTTACTCATTCAGTTTTTTCCAGTAGCGTTATCGGTCATATTTTTGCTTGCGTATGCGAAGTGCTCTGAAAAAAGCCAAAATAGCCTTAAATTGTTTTTTTTTAGCGCGACATTACCCAAAATTAATATATTGGCGCCTAAAGTTAATTATAGGTCCCCTGAGCCTACATTTTTCCGAAGGCAAAAGTATAATGAAATTAGGGGAGCTTGCGCTGAAAAACGCAGTTTCTGGCCCAAGGTTTTCAAAAAAGGCTCCCAAACGCTAATATGCGCTTAAAAAATTGCCGGAAGCACTATGGCGCAGGGTCTGTGTTTTAATTTTTTGCCAGTTTGGACTAAATCAGTGAAAGCTCATAGGAGTTCTCACGTGTGGGATGATATTCAAGCACTACAGAAATTACCGAAATTATTTTTGGTAATAATATTCACTAATAATTGCTATTATCTTTTCTCATTATTGCAGTTTTCAACTATTTCAGTCACTCTTTACTGAAAGAATAGTAAGCTACAAAACCTTAAAATAAATTGTTGCGATTTAAGTAAAGCGCTCTTTATTTTCGAATTTTTCTTATTAATTTACTGTTATTATCCTTGCTTGAGTTAGGAATTTTCTTTGTGATACATCGTGCATACTGCATAAAGTTTTGTAGTTTGTTGCGCTTGTTTCTCCGTTACAGAATCGATTTCTATTTTTTACAAACTAAATCATTGTTAATGGATTTTGTGAAATTTCTGTTGCTCATGTGTATCGATAGATAAGATATTTTTCTGTATCTAATGTGTATTTTTGATCACTGAATTGTTCGTTTGTGTTTTAAAAAAGTTCTTAAGTATTTGACATGAAAGTTGTGTTTTAAGCGCCATGCTCGAGTGCGATTTTTTAAATCTGTTGATTTTTCCGTTCTAATTCTTAGGCATCTAAGGACAGCCAAGTAAGTCAATGTAAATTGAAAGATGGTTTAGTTACTGAAGCGTGCATTTCGTCAATATTATGTTGAGACAAACATTTTTGGTTAGATATCTGCGTTAATCTCTTTCATAATTTGCCTTCTAAACACCTGTATTGGTTTTTCTCGCTTTGGTTATAATGGAGCCTACAAAGGATTGACTGTGAAGCTTTTGTTCACTGATTCAGAATACAGCTAACCGAAGATGTTCCTTTAGTAAGATCGGTTTGCTGCGTTATAATGAGATATGGTCTGCAATCAAACACCAGCTAAACCTTTATTTTCAGGTTCTGTTCTCAGCAGAAAGTTTGTTTTGTTTTTGATGTACATTGCGGAAAAGTTCAAACTGTGCAGAATCCTGTTCAGTAGATCTCTATCCTTTAGTTTTACTCTATCGATTTGTTTTATTCTTTTGTTGCGAACGGGTATCCACAAATATCAGAATGGACTGGTGGTAAATGGAACTGCGTATGAGCTGCGGGGTGAGATATCGGTTCCGATGAAACCTAACTATTCGTGTCCTTACTTCACACTAATACCTCCGGCAACCAATCCGAAGTCTTATCAGAGGAAGTGCAATACATGTGCAATTGTTTCAAGTTCTGGCCGCCTTCTCAAATCTAAAGTGAGAATATAGAATACATTATACCTGTTATATATGCGGATAAAAACAGTTTTTGACTTTTTGGGAGCATAGACGGGGGAGGAGGTTCACGACGTTATTTTTGTTTTCCGAAGGAAAAAAAGAATAGTTCAAATAATGTGGATTTAGTTACACAATGTAGATTAGTTACAATTTCTCCCGTGGTTAATAGCAAATTTTGACTGGATAATATTTCCTATGAGGACCGAACTTCTACCGGTTACGTAGCAAAAAGTAGAAAGGGCAGGAAGTAGACTCGTCATAAAGGCGACAATACTAAATAAACCAATCAGAATCGAGATAAGTTTTGTCAATTTTTCGAAATATGTATATGAGTATGAATACTTTTTGACCGCACTCCCCTTTTACCAGACCGACCTTTTACCAGAAAAGTGAATAGGCTTTTTACTAGACTGGGCTTTTTACCAGACTTGACAAACAAATTTGATTGACAGATGCATTGACGCCGTTTAGTCTGGTCAAGGACAATTATTTCAGACTTTTCTGCGAAATTTGGTTGAACTTAACGGCTTCGCATCTCCAATAGTTTTGACTGGTGGCGTCCCTCATGCTTGAAGGACCGAATGCTTGAAATTAATTTTAGCTTACTTTCAGCCAATCAGAGTTGAGTATTCAAAATCTAAAAATAAATCGCGAAAATCTCAAAGTAAGGAAATAAATCCAGGCCATTAGTTTTAATATTGACCGATTAGATAATAAGCAGATGAGTTTCAAGACTGAAAAATTCTTATGATTTTGAACTCATTAATCTTGATGATTATCTGAATAGTAATGCGGTTGTAACCCGCAATTTGTAATATTTTTGATTATTTTCCACTGATTCAATACATTTTTTGTTAATATTGACTTCGATATTGTGAGAAAGGAATTTAGCCAATAGAAACGATTTTGATTGGTTGAAATTTTTCAAGCATTCGGTCCTTCAAGCATGAGAACCCTCCCCGTTTTGACTTATCTTAATTGAAGCAGTGCGGTCTCTGGGGGAGGGTTCTCATAAAGGAGGGGCCGAATGATGGAAAACTTTTAACCAACCAGAATTGTTAAGAGAAATGAATTATCTGCCCAGCCATGTTTTGCTGTACAATTCGTGCTGATATACAATAGTTTAAAAAAAAAAAAAACTGGTATCAGTTTTTTTAATACCCAATTTCATTTTCGCAGTATTTGAAAACTCATGTATCTGCTTTTTTAATCGGTCAAATTAATTTTAATGGCTTGGATTAATTCGATTTCTTTGAGATTTTTGCAATTCTTCAGAGATTTCGTACTACTCACTTCTGATTGGCTAAAAAAAAACTAAAAATAAATTTCCATCTTTCGGTCCCTCAATCACGAGGGTCGCCACCCGGTCTCTAAGAAGACAACAGCGTTGTCATACTCGTTGCTCGTCAGCAAGAAGACAACTAATTAATTGAACTAATCAGAATCGAGATCAGAAATCAAACTGACTAAACAAACATTTATTGATCATTTAGTTTGTGCTTTTGCAATCTGATCTCGATTATGATTGGCTAGAATAGTATTTGTCTATTAAATGAAGTGTACGAATACTCGGGGGCCGACCTTTTGCCACACCGACCTTAACCAGAAAAGTTAAAAATGATTTTTTTTTTACCATACTCGATAAAAAGATTTGATTGACAGATGTAATGACGCCGTTTAGTCCGGTTAAAGAGCAATAATTTCACGGTTTCTCAGTGAAGTTTTGGTTCTTTTTAACCTCTTCCTTTTCAGATCTTCCACTAATTTTAATTTGCCTTAATCGAAATATTGCATTGTAGTCTGGTAATATGTCGGTCTGGTCAGAGACCTTACCCCGAATTCTCGGTTGTCTACTTACTGTTACCTAACCTTAATTGAGTTATTGTATTTTGGTCTGGAGAAAGGGTGGTCTGGTAAAAGACAGCTCCAGTTTTGATGTAATGTTTCCAATAAAAACTGGTAAACGATATTTTTAAAAAGGATTGTTTTCATCCGCCACTCCCCAAATCAAATTCTTTTTGAGCTGAGTTTTCCAACATTAGTTACTTGAATCAGCTTTTAATTTACGCATGCGATGAACAAGCGTTGTCAAATCGGATTTTGGACTTTTTTCGAGTTAACAGCTTATTGAACAATTTTTTTGACAACGGGTGCACTCCATAATTGTGCTCCATTGACATGCTCAAATTACCATAATTTTTAAGAGTAAGGAACATAGTGAAGACTCTTATGTAGGTCTTGGTGATTTTTTTTTGTTTTTTTTTAGGAAAAAGTCTTGAGATGCTCTAATAATTACAGATGTGTGGGCATTCATACATATATTGATGTACTTAAGAATGCACTTATGTATATATGCATTTTTGGAGCTCAATTGAATATAACCTGCTGAAAGTAACGTAAATAGCACTCTCCAAATACGAACGTGGAAATGGCGCGAAAAAAGTGAACAATTTCTAGTTTCGAAATTGGAATTTAATTTTCAGATTTCCAGCGGAAAAAATTTTACCTTTTGATCCAGTTTTCTCAAGCTGGGTTAATGATATCAATAAATCGTTCTAGAAATTCAAAAAGCCTAAACCTAAGGGGCATTTTTTTTTTCGGTTTGAAATTCGAAAGTTGAGATTTTTTGTAACAAAGTCAGTGTTTTTTTAATGTTTACTTGCGTTCTTTACTCTTTTCCAATCTTCGATTGGTTATATTATATTGTTTTCCTGGATAATGTTATTAAATTACTTTTCAGAACTTATATGAGGTTTTTCGTCTATTTTTAGTCTGCTTAGTTTTTTCGGCATAGATTGCAGAGCAATAAATTTCTTCAGATTCAATTTTTTTTCTGAAATTGAAAATTATTCTGATTGATTCCTTTAATTTACCAATTAAATCCCAGTTTTGTATAATTTCATGCTCAAATTTTTTTTCACTTAAAAGTTTTATTCGCCCTAATTAGTTTGAGCCGATGTGCTATCGGTATATTCGCTTCATTTGCGTCATTTGGATGGTGATTGTGTTTTTTATGCGTGTGCTCTACGGGCGTCTCTCTACTAAGTATTGCCCAAAGTTGACGGGCTTCTACCTAAAAATTACTAATAGTTATCTATTGACTGAATGCTAATCTAATCCTGGCAGTTGTAGGTCAAGACATTCAAATTCATTCGTCGAGACGTATAAAAGTATTGGTTGAGGCAGTTTTATTTAAGCAAGAAATTTTTTGGTTTTGTTTTTTTTTATGTAAGCGAGGAATTTTTCTTAACTTTATTAATACCACTGTGAAGCACAATTAGTTAAAATTTGAGAAAAAGTTTTTTCTTGGTTTTCATCGTCAGGTTTTTTTGAACGGATTGCTAATCGGATTGTTTTTTTTCTTCATTTCTACGGGGCAGTACAACAGTGCCGAAAATGAAAACTTTGTTCAACAGTGCCAAAAATTTGAACAAATTTCAACATATTAAGTGCGGCAATCAAAAATTAAACAGCGATCGTTTACAATCTTAAGTGGCACTTAAAGATTTTGGCAGAGAAAATTTGCAATTTAGACGTTTTGGCGCCAAAATAATTGTTTAATTTGCTGTTGCAGACATTTTGGCGCCGAAATTGGAGTGATTTTCTTAGATAATTAGCGTCAGTAATTTCCCGTTCTTTAGAAAATGGCTTGAAAATTATTCTGAAATTTTACAGCCTTTTTCGACACTGTTGTACTTCGGGGGTCTAGGACAACAAGCCGACGGCTCTTCAAGTCGAAGAGACTTCAAGCCAAAATTAAAACTTTACAGGCTCCTCAAAACTCTATTTTATCGTCTGAAAAACGTTGCTTTTCAAAAATTTTGGCAAGTTTAGTCCATAATAAGCGTTATTCATGACAATGCACCGCTTGTGATTGGCATCCGTTAAAAACATCAGCCCGTTTTTGAAATGCATAAATTATAAACATGAAAAATGCCTTCAACCATGTTTTACTTTTCAACTTTCCGAAACTTCATTTGGAGGCTTAAATTTTATGGAAACGCCAATAACTAGTTAGGTAAGATCATGAAATTCAGAAATTCTTTACAGTTTTTTTTTTTCAAATTAATTATATTTCACGATTTTATAAGGAACTATTCGGCTTGAAGTCTCAAATTTTACGATTCGGCTTGATGTCAGGCAGCCGTACTTCGGCACTGTTGAACGCCCCCATTTCTACGAGCAAATTGTTTTTAAGGGGTGTATTCATAGGTTCCAAAATAAAAAATCAGTCCCATAGGTTCCAAAATAAAAAAGCAGTCGCATAAGTTCCAAACCTTTTCAATTGGTGAAAAGATTAAATTAGCCGAGTCTCGGTTTAAGGTCGCCGGTGGGCGCGCTACGCGCGCGTCGCCGCTTTGCGGCAAAAACCGGCTCAAAATTTCGTGTAGAGTCCTACCCTTTGGTGGCAAGCTCGCAACACGTTGGCGCGGCTGCGGCGGTCACTATTCTGCAGCTTGAGTTTATGCTGGTTGAACAGTAAACAATCAATCCATAAACTCGTTGGCTCAAATTTCAACCAATCAGAATTCAAGAAGATAATTTTTGGAACTTATGCGACTGATTTTTTATTTTGGAACTTATGAATATTGGAACCTATGGGAATTCACCGTTTTCAAATTGTTACTAGTGAATGCATATGCTAATACATGTTAATTGTAAATGCAGAGTGGCGATGTTATCGATGCAGCAGAATGTGTGTTTCGTATCAACAATGCGAGCACCGAAGTGAAATATCAAGAGGATGTGGGCCGCAAATCATCAATCAGAATCCTCAGCTCCAGAGGTCTAGACGAGTACTTCGAACGACTATCCAATGAAGAAATTGTGAAGCCAGAAGATATTTTAATCTGGGACGCCAACATACGTCTGCCAAGATTAGATCGCGTAACTCTGAAAGCTATCAAGCTAGCAGATATCTATCCTAGCCTAAAAGTGTATATCTTGCAAAATCATGTCAGAGGTTTGCCCAGTTTCGATACTTTCATCGATAGAGAAGTGGGGTTATCGTCTACATTAACTGGCAGCTCTTGCTCTAGCGGTTTCTACGCAATGACAGTAGCGGCATATATTTGTGACAGTATCGCAGTTTACGGCATGTCATCGCCAGAAGATTGCTTCGAGAGTAATCTGAAAAAGAGGCCTCAGGCTCCATATCATTATCAGCCGCCGTACGATACGATAGGCAGGGATGTTAAAATAAAACGACGGTTATTTTTAAGCTTAATTTTTTAATTGGTCAAATGTTAAGTAAACAGCATAGGGTCAGGTTCTAGAAATTAGGTGACGCGCGTAGTGTAAGAATTCGAAACTTGTTGACCTTTTTAGGTCAACCAAGCTGAATTTTTGTGCATAGCTAGATGTTGAGAAAAAGTTAACAACTAAACCACGTATTTAGCCTCTTTTTGGACAAAGCGGTCAAAAAGTTCCGTTTTTGGGCGCGCTCTTTCCCCCTCAAAATTAGATTCTTGGCGCTGAAAATTGAAAACTTGTCAAAATGGGTGGTTAAACGCATTGCAAAATGAGAGACCCTTTGGACGGTGGGGCTGTTGGTTCGCTGAAGGACGTGACCTTTCTCATAAGCCTAAACTGACCTGTGATTTAGGGTTGAAAGTGTTCAAATTAATTTGAAAACTTTCACGAAATCTAGAAATTATATAGTTTAAAAGCCCTCTTAGGAAATGACTGGAAGTTAAGAGCAAGAACCCTGTGTGCTAATTATAGTTAGAAAAATTAAAAACGCAAACTATCACTCAAGTTGTTCATTCAAATCAGCGTCAAGTTTCTGGTGTGAGTAAAATCATAGTTTTATCAATTGAGCGGGTTTTTGCCGTGAACCCAGATAGTTATAGTAGTAGGAACTGGATCTCAAAATACTAAAACAATCGTTAGCAACTGTGTTTTAACATCCCTGGCCATAGGAGAATGCGACATGTATAAGTCTCGATGGAAAAGGTCCATACATGGCCATAGGTTCATGACTGAACACATGATTTTCAAACGGTGGAGCAAACACCGACAAATTACATTCAGGGTTCCGTCTTGGTGACCAAATCAGCAATCTAAACGTTCTACATACTGCCGACTGGAGAAACCTATTTTTGTACTTTCCGAATAATTTTCCAAATTTAACTGCTGGGCGTTCAACGAAGTTATATCTATCTTTTTAATTTTAAATTGTACAGATACTATCAAAATCAATTACAATCATCGAACATTTTCATCAATAGATATTTAGTCTGAAAAGAACAATTTGACATACGAATGAATTCTTAAAATTTATTGGTGCAACACAATTATTTGTGCAATATATGTAGATTAAGTTTAGATAGTGTATTGAACTCAGACGTTCTCATTTTTTAAAAGTATCATTGATTTTCATCATGAATTTCATGACGCTCGGTTTTGAGCTGTTTGGAAAAATTCGCAAAATATAAAAAGCCGATTTGAACGTCGAAGAAATGAAATTTGGCTTCAGTTCTTCAAGTGTACTGAGTTCTTATTTGTCAAAGATTCATATCACAAATCGTTTATACTCATCTTGTCTTACAAAATTGTCATCCCATGCTTTGCTGTTGATGTTTTTCCTTAATTTAATTTAAATATCTTTGTACGCAAGCTTTTAGAGCCAAATACTTTTCGTAAATGACAAAAGACGAAGTTTTTTATCTTTCATGTCGTTATGGTGTTTTTTTTTTGCATTCAAAATTAGGCAAATCAAATAACACTGCTGCTTTTGGTGTTGAGAAAAACTGGTACGCTTGATCTTTTTTGTTAAATTTTGTATTTTTCTAACAACCGAGCGTAGAGTATGAAAGTGCTCATAGCATTGGCAAATAAATAGCACCTGTTGTATCTACTTTATAGGTTGCTAGTGTTTGCAGATTTACAAGCGATTCTGGCGCTGAGGCGATGACGTCACACTCGATTTCCAGGTCGGGGTTCGATTCCCGAACATACCAATGTCCATTTTTTTGTAATAGATGAACTTAGTTCAGTTTCTTATATAGGTCGCGATGATTTGTTTCTGTTGTTTTTTTTTCAGGAAGGCTCACATTTTTTCGTGGTATGACTTTTGGTTCCTTTTTTAGTTAAGTTCATTTCTTTTGTTAAAAAGAATTCAAACTCCACTAACGAACAACAAAACGTGATCGACCTAATTATCAGATTTTAGATCTTTATTTTGCCGATTTAAGAGCTCGAATTTTGTATTATGATACTTGCACAGCAACAGCAAGCGGTTTTTCTTATTCGATGACAAGTGGTCTGCAGTGTGAGAGTGAAAATGAGATAAAATGAACTCTCTGTGTTCCAAAAGTGGATTTTCATTCTACAGTCTACTAGCAGATTAAAATCAAAACCCAATGATTGTTTTTCTGATCTGGCTGAGTAATTTAAGTATAAAGTCGCATTAATATTCGATGCTGTTTTAAACGAAGTTTATATTCGATGCATTAGACGAAGTTGTTTTATTTTATATAGGTTGAGATGATTTTTTATTCAGGGGAAAAATCTTTAAAGTTATTGACGCTCAAGTTTGATTTTTGCGGTCCATTAAGAGACATTTAAGACATACTTTTGATAATTAGGAAGCGTGATCAAATCGGAATATAGACGTTTTTTTTTTCGTGTTTTAGTGTAACAAAATCAGATGACAGTAGAACAATGTCTGGCAACAGATTTTTTGAGCATGTCTGCATTTTAAATATCTGTTCCATTCGATTTTTTTTGGTGGTTGTAAATCAAATTTTGTAGTGTGCTTTTTTGCTTTTTAAAGTAGTCTTTTTCATTTTTATGTTTTTTCGGTGAAAATGGTTTTGGCTGATGTTTATCCGTAATACCTCATAATTCGTCGTTTGAAGGATCAAATTTTTTTATTGCATTTGTGCTTACTGTATGGGTGGGGCGTAAAACTTGCTAAAACTTGGCTCAAAATGTACTCATTTTTTTCCGCTCAAGTAGTCTACCCAAGTTTTGTCAGCTCACTATCCGCTTGATGCTTGTTTAATGCTTATTTAACACTGAATATTGTTTCAAAAATTGTGAGAAAAACAATCGTTTTAAACTTTTTTTGGCTCCGGCTTACGTCCGATTTATTGTGGGCTAGCTGCCGTGCTATTTTTTCGCTGTATCGAAAGAAGTGGCAAAAAGACGGCATGACATTAAGAGGACAAACGAGACTTCAAATATGTAGATTGAACTGTTCGATTTTAAGCTAATTATTTTTCTCTTAAATATAGTTGAAGATTGCGTGTAGCGATTTGCGAAAGCGGTCGTCGCTTTGACAGCTGTTGTCTAATCTGTCGGAAACCAGACAAAAAGCTTTCAGTTAGCTAGTGTCGGATCTCAGTAGTAGCATTCTTCACCTACTTTCGAAAAAAGCAATTTACATGCAGTAAACTTAACAGTCTATATAAGAACGACCACGAAAACTGACAAGAATTACGACATCAAGTGCCATTCACAGAAAAGTGAAATTGACTGTGCAAAGCGGTTTTTGCCTGTCGTGCTCTGTTTATATTGGGATAACAACTTAGAATTCATTTCAAATACAAATTTTTCTAACTTTTGTAATCATCTGTCTATATTATTCATTTGGCCTTTCACGTAAGTCATGTTTAAGCAGTCCCCATATTGACATGTTGAGTTACCAATAGTTTTCAATATATAAAAAACGTTTTTTGAAAATGCATTTTTCACTCTTGCGATAACAACTGTGTTGCAACCGGGTACTAGTCTAGGTAAATAAATTTGTTCACCGTTTTTCGGCAATAAATTCCCCTAAAACTTCGCAGACTGGCCAGTTCTCAGACTGGTCAAAATTAGAAATGGTAAATTTAGGTTTTGTTCGTAATGAAATCAAATTCCTTTGCGTGTCCTACACACTTCGCTTGGAGGTAACGAATATGCCTGGGACGACAAAGGCCGTGAGTTCGAATCTGACAGGACCTGTTTTTTTTTTCAAACTGGAAATATTGCTTTTCAAACAAAATTATCGGCTTATTATTTGTCTGCTTGGTTTGTCGACTTATTTTTGTTTTTTGCTCGCTATTACAAATAGTTCCTTTTTGTGTTTTGATTTACCTCTACTGTTTGTAACTTTACAAAACTTGACTTCGTATATGTTCTTTTTTATGCCCTTTTTTCGCATAAAAATTTTATTCTGCCCAAATGATTTCGGCCTATATTTTATCGGATTAGTGGCCTTATGTTGCGTCGTTTGATGATCAAAGAAATTGTTCGTGTGTGAGTGTAGGGTATTTTTGATGTGGAGACGTTCTCGAAAACCTTTTATTTTCTGCTCAAACGGTTCCTGCTCAGGTACTTTTGGCTTTTTTACCGCTTGGTTAGTTTTAATCCGTTGCTAATGGTTGTCTTGGCATTTTTTATTCGTTTTGATACATCTATTTTTTCGGCAGTTCTGGTTTTTTATTTTTCATTGATTTTTTTTCCGGTTGTATCGCAGGTGGTGCGAAGTTACGCTTCGCCACTGTGTTAAATATTCTATGCAAATATGAAACACTTTTTTTGCTCATGTTGCAATATCGGATGTTTTCAAGTTCTTGTACGGTTTAAACCTCACAGCGGTTGCTACGCTTATGTTTTAACCCTTTTTCACCTCTTTCAAAAATGTAATTCTAACCAGATTTTTGTTTCATTTTTTTGGCACATTCCACCCTGTAAGTTTTTGTCTTCAATAGAAACTTTTATGCCTTGCTACTGCGATTATCAAAGATTTTTTATAATGAAGTAACAATAGAATTAATTCGTTTTCTGGAACCTAATATCAAAGTCTAGATTTTGAAGCTCCAAATTTGGCAGTGAAAAGTATTCATCTTTTTGCTAAAGTTCAGCAATTTTTTGAAAACTTTGAAAAAGTTCAATTTTGTTTGTCTTACAGGTTTGGTTGTTTTCTAACCAGGTTCGCCTTTTTAGACAAGTTAATCAATCGGCCTGGATTTTTGAAGGCTATCTGAGAGAAAGTTTTTCAGTTTGCTATCATGAAAAGTATTTGTTTTTCTTATTGGAGAACCGATAGGTTTAGTTGATTTTTCTCCGTTAACTACAGAGTGTTATGAAAACGTGTTTTTTTAAAATAAAAAAATCTGGTCTCATTTCACGTTAATTTGGGTAATTGAGGTGATTTTTTTTTTTGCAGTAGGAAGCATATTTTGCCAAATTCTGATGATATATTTCATTGAGTTGGCGTTTTTTTTCATGCATGGTTCGGCGATTTAATGAATTTTTACTGCATTTTGTGCTGAAGAAACTACTTTAGTTCTGATTTAAAACAACCGGATGAAATGAGCTAAAACCCATTTTTCTCGAATTCGGTTATGTTTGGCCGAAAAATGAAGAGGACAATAAATGCCTCGAGGTTTACCAGCTTTTTGGTGCATTTTTTGAAACAAAATTACACCCATAAAACGGGCCAATTCATTTGATTCAAATTTTCGTAAACAGGATCAAAAACGTAAGAATAACTTTAACTGACCGACCCTGTTAACTTACTTGATTTTGAACCAAATTATTTGAGCAGTTTTATTTGCACAATTTTGATTCAAAACCTTACAAAAAAACTAGCACCTTAAAAAAGCTGGTTCATCTAGAATTTTTAGTCCTCCTTATCTTTGGGCCAATTATAACCGAATTTGAGATAAATGAGTTTAAAAAATCTGTCTTTGTTCATTTTATCCGGCTGTTTAATTCAGCACAAAGTGAAGTGAAAGTTCATTAAATCACGGAAACATGCCTCAATGAATTATATCATCAGAATTTGCGTAGTTTTGCTGCCTGCTGACAAAAATTTCTTTCATTTACCCAAATGTTCGTGAAATGAGAGATTTATAAAAAAAACACGTTTTAAAAACACCGTGATTAAATTCGGAAACTGAAAAACTTGTTGGTTGCTCATAGCCTCTTCATAAGGTTGGCTACTATGAAGTTGAACCTGAAATCTCCAAAACTGGGTAGTTCTGTGTTAGCTTTTTGTAAATTTGTTGGACTTTTTGTTCCGATAATTGAGAATGGGAAGGAACTTTGGATTTGGCTGTTTTTTTTTCACTCAAAATCAAGTACCATAAATAAAAATATGAATGGGTCGAGTGATATATATTAAAGCCCTTTCAGCTGTGATTTGAACATGAAAAAAATATCAGAACGAAATTTGTTACATCGCTTTCAAAAAAACGACTTTAATTTGACAAAAGAAAAACTTCTTTTTCTTAGCTTTTGCATGAGTATGGTCGGAACATTGTGTGCTACTTGCACAACAACCAGCTTTCCTTGTTTTGGTTCTTATTTTAGATATAATTGTTCTTATCCAGATGTTGTCTATGAATTTAGTTCGTTTGTGTAGCTAGCACGGTTATCTACGAATATCTTGAAGACAACTGTGGTTTTCACTTTTAAGTGAAAATCGGAATCTAAATTTTCAATCGGTTTGGGGTGTATAATAAAAATGGGGCGTATAACTTTCAAAGTTTTTTTGGCTAAACTGATGACCCAGCTTTTTCGGCTTAGTTGCCGCCCGGAAAATATTTTCGAATGCTTGTTTAACGGTAGTGGTTTTGTTTCTTAACG